TTTTTGCATCAGCCTGAGCTCATGTTGTCTAATGCCATTAACACAGATGGATGATTAGATTGATTCTTTTCAGTTTTTTGCAATTGCATATGCATGCAGTTCTATTGCACCCATTGAATACTCTATTATTTTACATGGAGAAGCCAAGAATAGAAAGCTCATACAATCATAGTTTAATAGTTAAAAATTGATAAGCAACATTTGACAAATAACAAGCTAAATATTTTGACCTTGCAATCACTGCAGAATCAGTTATACATCCTCACCCTGTATTGTCCCCTCCTATAACACTGCAACTACGGGACCCAAATGAATGCTGTACCACGTAACCCAGCGTCATTACCGAAAGTGGAAAACCTCACGGTTTCGGATATTACCCCGTACGGATTTCGAGTGTCCTGGTTGGCAGATTCCTCTGAGGGCTTCAGCCATTTTCAGGTAAAGGTGTCGGACTCTGGTCAGCTGCTGGAGTCGCAAGAGTTCATAGTGCCGGGGAACCAGACTGTACTGGATGTTTTGGGCCTGATTACTGGCATTGGCTTTGAGGTCAGTGTGACCGGGGTGTCAGGGAATGGGTTACAGTCTCGTCCAATCACCACAGTGGCTGTTACAGGTACCGCTCTCTGCTTTTCAACTGCACGTCACTCTGTCACATCAAAGGTTTCACTGCCCAAGCTTGGTAGTTTCAACTTTTTGTTGAGTAGCAAAATGTTTTTCATATTTAATAAATGAATTGCAGGGGGTTGTATGCACAAGACATGTTCAAGAGTGTGATAGTTTCTCTCTGATGTGTTGATATGTTGTAGGCGCACATAATGGCATGACAAAAAACCTGCCAAATTGTACAGTTTCTACAGTAAACACTCAATATGTAATTAATGTGGGGCTTAACCATACTTGTACATGTGAAATGTTAATATGCATTATGTATGGTTGCAGTGTTGCAGTTAATTCATATTTCCCAGCAATTCATTGCCCCTTCCATATTTCTCAAGCTCTCATAATATACTTAATGTTTGCCTAATGAATTGTTCATGTTAATGGATGATGCCAGAAATGCACTGAAAAGCACATAAATAACAAATCCTGGATCTCATTCACTATCCAGGCATATGCAAACATTTGTACTGTAATATGAATTATTAATGTTATCAATAAATACGGAATATAAAACATAAGGATTATCTGCTATTGATATATCAACTTCTCATACACACACACACACACACATACTTTCCGTACCCACTGTATATATATATATATATATATATGTTTTTCAGTTGAGGGAGAAAAAAAAAATCTTTAAAACAAGATGATTTGCTTTTTTTTAAGAAGATATCTTGAGTCCCGGTATGCCTTTTTTTTTTTTTTTTTTTTTAAGTTATTTATAAAAATAATCTATGGAAGCCCGTTTCTGCCACTGAATAAAAAATAAAAAAAGGTTTTTGTGACTTTTTATCTCACAATTCTGACTTTTTTTCTCGCAATTGCGAGTTAGTATCTCGCAATTCTGACTTCTTTTCTCACAATTTTGACGTTTTTTCTTTATAACACGCAATTGCGAGTTCGCAATTGCGAGTTATAAAGTCAGAATTGCGAGATATAAACTCACAATTCTGACTTTTTTTCTCGCAATTGCGAGTTAGTATCTCGCAATTCTGACTTCTTTTCTCACAATTTTGACTTTTTTTCTTTATAACACGCAATTGCGAGTTAAAGGGGTCATATGATGTTGCTAAAAAGAACATTATTTTGTGTGTTTGGTGTAATGAAATGTGTTTATGCGGTTTAAGGTTCAAAAAACACATTCTTTTCCACATACTGTACATTATTGTTTCTCCTCTATGCCCCGCCTTTCTGAAACACGTCGATTTTTACAAAGCTCATCGTTCTGAAAAGCAAGGTGTGCTGTGATTGGCCAGCTATCCAGTGCGTTGTGATTGGCCGAATACCTCAAGCATGAGACGGAAATGTTTCGCCCCTCACCATACTGTGACGATGCCCTGTCCGGCCGGAGCGATGATTCAAAAACATGAGAACCCATTATAAACTAGGCATTCGTTGCATCCAGTGTGGTGATTGGCCAGCTATCCAGTGCGTTGTGATTGGCCGAATACCTCAAGCATGAGACGGAAATGTTTCGCCCCTTACCATACTGTGATGATGCCCCGTCTGGCCGGAGCGATGATTCAAAAACATGAGAACCCATTATAAACTAGGCATTCGTTGCATCCAGTGTGGACATAATTATGGATTATAATGACTTATACTGTCTTTTTTTGTTGTTATGCAACTCTTCCCACGTAGTGAGGTAGACATGTGGGGGCGTGTTAGAACGAACCGTTTTAGGTAGGCGTGGTTGACTCTTAACTTTTATAAAGAATATCTCTTTGGATTTGAGACTTTAGTCTTTGCAACTTTACAGATCTTCTTTATGCACCAAGAGCTTGTAACACTCCAAAGAGAAAGGAAAAATTGAAATCACATCATATGACCCCTTGAAAGTCCAATTTTGATGGGAGGAAAAAGACTGATATGTTCTCGGAATTGTGAGTTTATATCTAGCCATTCTGACTTTATAACTCGCAATTGCGTGTTATAAACTCAGAATTGCGAGATATAAACTCACAATACTGAGATAAAAAGTCAGAATTATGAGTTTATATCTCGCAGTTCTGACTTTATTTCTCAGAATCTCACAAATATGACTTTTTAACTCGCAATTGTGAGTTTATATCACACAATTCTTAGAGAAAAAAAGGCAGAATTGTGAGATAAAAAATTCGCAATTACCTTTTTTTTTTCTTTTTTTTTTCAGTGGCGGAAACGGGCTTCCATAAGAATCTCCCAGTAGAGTAAGGCCAAATAATCTGAAGACTTAATACATTATGCAGTATTGCTGCTCAACCTACATTTAGGTAGTTTCAGGGCTGCTTAGTTATTTTGTTTGCTTGTTTTTTTCAATGTGTGATAGCTTTTTCCCAAAATAGTGATTGCAACATAAATACATTTGCATGTGTTGCTTCAGCTGCGGATTCCTTTGTAGTTTCTAGACTGATCTAGAAAGGCACAAAATGAAATACTAGAGTAGAAAACAGAAGCCATGACACATGAAGATGACAATTAAACAAAAATAAAAAATAGTGCAGATGCAACGCAAGAACATGTCCTGTGTTTACACGTTCTTTTAGAAGTTACAGTTCAAATTCTAGATGATGACCTGCTGTTGATATAAGCTTTGGTTGGGAAACTCCTACACAACTCAGCTACCTCCTCAACACTGTCCTTTCTTTATTTGCCAGGTCTCCTCCATCAGTAAAGCATTTTGTTTCTAGTGCTGCTTGTATGAACAGTTCATGCTCCACTGGTCCCATTTCCTTAAAAATATGTGCATACACATGTGTGATGCCATATTTGAATTGTGTTTTCCACTGAATGGCTGGCTTTGCATTGTGTATAACAACTGTATATAACAAAAATATGTTCTAAGAATGTTGTGCTAATGTTCCCATTAAGCTATGAAAACGTTATGTTCTCAAAACATTCAAAATGTCCTGTTTTTATTTATAAATTTTTTCTTGGTTATTTGTATTTAGAGCAAACATTAAGAGAATGTTCAAATTAGTAATTTTGCGAACATTATGGGAATGTTACTTTTGAATATTCTCTGTACCTGAAACAAGTAGCAAGCAGTAACGTTTAAAAAAAATTAGATAAACATTCAACTAAAATGTTTCAGATAGCTTTAAACGAACATTCTATTAACGTAAAATGTTTACAATTATATAAATAGTATATTATTGTATAAATATGTATTCAATTTAAAACAAAACAATGTAAACTAATAGTTTTTATTTTATTTATTTTTTATAAACAATGTTTGTTTTACATAAATTAATATCATAAAATAATGTTTTTATTTTATATAATATGCATTTAATTGAACAAATAATGTCATATATAACAGACCAGTAATTCACGTACATTCAAATGTAAACATTACTTTTGAATGTTCTCTGAACCACGTGAAACAAGTAGCAAGAAGTAACCTTTAAAGAACATTAGACAAACGTTCAACTAAAGGCTGGAATACACTATGCGACTTTTAAAATCTGAACAGATTTTTAAAACACTAGGAATCATACACTTACCGACTTTGTAAATAGTCACACTGGGCGTCATACACTAAACGACTGAGGATCACACACTAGCAGACTTTAAATCCATTCCGATAACAACAAACTCACTCAGAAATGTGCAACTTGTTGCTAGGAGATGCGTAACAAATGAAAACAATATGTATCCTAAAATCAGCTCAAAACATCAAACATGTTTGATTTCCTCCGACTGGATGGAATCAAAGTCTGAAGCTAAAAAATCAGAGTCTGTGACCATCACACACTACACAATTTTCTATGAAATCTTTCAGCTCAAATCTGCAGACTGGCTCTGACTTTCGCCAACTAGCGGCGACTTCTCCAAACTAAATCGGTGGAGAATCGGGCCAAAAGTCGTGTAGTGTATTCTATGCACAATCAGCTTGTAACACTCCAAAGAGAAAGGAAAACTTGAAATCGCATCATATGACCCCATTAAACATTTCAGTATAACGTTCCACAAACAGTGTGTAAATAACATTATTAAAGACCAGATAGCTTTAAACAAACGTTCTTTGAACATTCCCTACTACTTGGGAAGGTTTTTCACCAGCAGCTCAGAAGGAAACGCAGTCTTGCATGAAATCAGTATAAAAAGAGAAAGACAGACTTATGTAAGTGGCGTGCATGATTTGTAATGCCATTTACAATATTAACTGGTGTCAGAAGTCATGAAGGACCATGGTTTATGTCCATGGTTTAACTAACACAGGAAGTTGTACTCATACTTGATGCATGTCGAATGGGTGGAGACCGGCAGGTAGTTGGAAATAAAGCGCGCTTGAGTCTGTCTCAGACTTGTTAAAACAAGAAAAAGACACATGTCCCTTACTTGTCAATCAGAGGCAGAGCCAGAGATCGAGCACCTTTTCGTGTCAGACATCACCCCTGAGAGTTTCCGGCTGGCCTGGACGGCAGAAGACGACATCTTTGATCGATTCGTGCTCAAAGTTAGAGATTCGAGCAAGCTCTCCCACCCTCGAGAGTTCGTTGTGCCGGGCGATGAAAGAACCAAAGTTTTAACGCAGCTTTTGGGGGGAACCGAGTATGAAATTGAGCTTTACGGTGTCACGCTGGAACATCGCTCCCAACCCGTTACTGCTGTTGCCAGAACAGGTATTGCATTTGTCAAACACGTTCATTTCTGGATTCGAGGGGCTTTCTTGGCTGCAATGTGATGGAAGTATGACCTGAATAACACTCTTCATCGTAAACAGGTACTGATCTGTGATGCATCGTGATTTGAAACGTATCTGTCATGATATATTTCAATCCAGGGTTAAAGTCAACAGCAAATACTGTTCGCATGCCATTTTACTTGATGCATTTCAATTGGATAATCAACAAGAAAAAGACTGCTTGGTGCTTGACTTGATCTATTGGGTGAAAAGTGGGTTTTTAGACACTATAATCAGAAGTTTTGACAAAACTTCATGAAGTAAGACGTTGACTTTAACCTTGCATGCTCTTATGAAGGAACGTTATGCGTGTTCATGCATCCAGAGGGAAGTCTCCCAGTGTTCATTTCACTACTAAACCATCAAGTCTTCGTCATTGGGAAACGTGACATTAATTTGTCCGCATGCACTGAGGACTAATGTCTGTGTGTCGGTTTATGATCGAAATAACATGCCTTCTTTTTGTCATCATCTCGCTCCAGGTTAAATTTGTGGAATGCAGTTGAATGGTTTTGGCATGATTGATCATGTTAAAAATGGTTTCTTGCACTATTATGACTAATTAATCTTTCTTTTAGGCCTTTTTTCACTGCACCAGGGAAAGGCCTGCTTCACCTGCAGTTCAGTGGCCATTTCTTTGTCCATTTTCCAGTGGCTGTTTGAATTAACGTCATAACTTAATGGGCATAAGGACCCTGGGTGGATAATTTTCCCAATTTTTTCAACATGTTTTCTTGCTGTTGCTAAATATGTACCTGCGTTGCTGTCTGGCAGGCCTTGGAGCTCTAGGGGACCTTCGTTTCTCTGACATGACGGACACAACAGCTGTGGTCTCCTGGACTCGACCGCGATCCCAACCGGACTCCTACAGGATCACTTACGTCCCCATCCAAGGAGGCGAGTGCCGGTCCTGAAAATGATTGAAAACATCATATTAGATATATGCAAACAACAGAGCTAGTGTTGAAGATGAAGACTAAAAAAAGTTGATTAGACATTGAGCAAATTTTGAGACGCTCTGATGAAATTCACGCATTAAGTCTTGCTTCTCGTCTGTGTTTTTCCAGGTGCTCCCATGATCTTGACGGCGGACGGGTCACAGTCTCAGGTTTCGCTGACCAATCTGATTCCTGGAGAGATGTATCAGCTGTCGCTTGTTGCAGTGAAAGGTCTGGAGGAGAGCGAGCCAGTGTCCGACACTTTTACTACAGGTCGGTTAAGTCACTTCACTGATTAGTGGTGTTTTTAAGATAAGCATCACTCTCAGTATTGCTCAAACTGAGCGTCAATGATCTGAAAACAAACCCCTCAACCATAATATAATGTAATATAATTATAAATAATATGAAAGATCAGTAATTCATGTACATCAAAATGTAAAGAGGTGAAAATATGTTAAATGTATTAAAAATAAATTATATAAATATATTATTGTATAAATTATATACATTTTTTTATATACAGTATTACAAAATAAAGTAATAGTTTTTATTGTATTTATTTTTATTTTATATGCAATGTTTGTTTGTTTGTTTGTTTTACATGTAACCAATTAATATCATAAAACGATATTTTTATTTCTATTTTATTTTCTATATGTCTGTATTTTAACAAATAATGTAATATAATATTATGTATACTGTAACAGATCAGTAATTCATGTACATTAAAATGTAAAGACATGAAAATATCTAAAATGTAGTAATATAAATTATATAAATGTTATATTATTGTATAAAAAATGTGTGTGTGTGTGTGTGTATATATATATAATGCATATATTACATATATAGTTTTTATATGTAATATTTATTTTTGTTTGTTTGTTTTACATATAACAAAGTAATATAATAACAGAATAATATATATATATATATATATATATATATATATATATAAACAAAATATAATATAATATGCAACAGATCAGTAATTATGTACATTCAAATGTAAAGACATGAAACTATCTAAAATGTAGTCATATAAATTATATAAATGTTATATTATTGTATAAATGTATATATATATATAACAAAATTATGTAAAATAATAGT